ATGGACCATCTACAAAGTTCCATGTATAGTCAGTTTCAATATCAGAATGATTTCTTTGCAGCCATAGCCTCTACATATCCCGGGAACAAAGTGCATCGTTAATTTATAAATTTATATTATGTGGTAAGATAATAGTAGCACTTCCAGAGTTTTCAACGCTATTCGACGCAGTTGATATCTTATTAACATTATTTTATGCTAATATTAATTTCAAGAATACCTTTTCTATTGGAGAATTGTGTGCCTAGTTGCACCACCATATGCTAAACAGAAATTTTGATGATCCATCTTAAATCTTATCATCGTTAATGCTCATTCGAGAACAATAATGTAATATTCTACGAGAATATTAAAACGTGGAGTGTTATGCCTTAATATTAATAATTACATTGTGCTTCTTTTGAAGCAACAACAGATTCTACTTCTAGAATATTGATAGATATAAATGTGCTTTTTTGAGTACACGACACAATATTTTTAAAGAACACTAATGTGTTTTTTTTAATTCTTCTTCTAGCGCAATATTGTTTTGAAATATTTATATAATGTGGGTAGTGTTTCTTCGAGAACGTCAATGCCATATTTGTTTGAATAAATACAATTTTTAGTTATTCTTCTAAGTTGATATATAATATGATAAAAAAAATTAATGAATGAACTTATTTGTAGTGGAAAGGGAGTAATTAAATTAGAGTACTCTCCAAATTTGATAAATATAAAAATCTTCAAGTAGTCTATATAGATCTTAGTAGCCCATTTAAAATTCGTTAGTGTTGACGCAGCAATTTCTTACGACTGATCCGTTGGGTATTAATCTTGATTGATGAATTTGAAGAATAATGAGTTATAAGGTTGAGCATCACCACATATCTTTTAGATAATGCTTTGACATTTATTGGTGACAGAGGATAAGTCATTTACTATAGCCCAACAACATTAATACTATATATTTGACAACAACCAAGAATTGGAATCTTTTTAATGCAAAATTCATTCACGTTACACACATCTTATTAAATTTACACCTTTCACATTGTGTGACTGGGAATGAAAATCAGAAAAAGCCAAATACCCATGTGTTGTCCACACATTTGTTGTTCAAATCTTTCCTCTTTCATCAGCTCCGGATTTAGTTGTTTTTGCAGTTCCATTTTCTGTTTAATCGTTTCCACTTTTAGGTATGGCATTAACGTGGCTGCCACTCATCAGGACAAACCACCACCTGATATTATACATTTTTTTTTGTGTCTCATTCATGGTGGTTGAGCCTACTCTAGTCTACACCGATCTAAGAAAAGAAAAGAAAGAATCCATCAGTCCTTTTTGATTCAAGGAGCTTTGAATTCGACATACATGGGCTCCAAGGAAAATTTTAATTCTACATTCACATCTGTTATTCCACCACTAAAGGGACCTTTCTTGACGACATATTCACAGACAATTGGCTTCAAACAGAAGTAATTCCATGAACTCTCCGAAAAATATCGAATATCAGCTTAGAGTTAATATTTCAGTTTGCAAATCAATTCAGTGTAGGACTTAAATTCAATGCATATGAGGCAGGGGACACTATCCTAAACTGGAAACAGAACAATGTATTCTCAAATTTTAGAATGACTTGGGGATGGAAAATACGGCAAATTAAATTATCAGAAAAATTTAAATTATCTAGGACACAATAAAGATGTTAGCAGTAACACAGGAAAAATTAGAAATGGCTAAGCAATGCAGATCCGATAAAAATTCACAGGGAGATTACTGATTTACTTAAGTATGCATTTAAGCTAAATCGGCAGGTTCTATACCAAATCCTCTAGTCACTAGCAAATTCTACAGTGTTAGAGATGAAAGTGCCCACATTGAACTATATCAAACCTCAAAAAACTAATAAAAAAAGAACTTTGACATGGTGTCATCTCAACCAGAACCACTCAAAACCAGAGTATGTATATGCCCCTTTAATGGATATACCACCTAATTCGAAACGCTTCACTTATTCTTCCAGGTGTTGAAGGCTTAAGCAGGCTAATTCAAAATTAGTTCACTTCTACTGACTTCAATGAATCAGGCCTTTTCCTCCAAGATAGAAATCATTACGAGATCATTGTGGAGAAAAAGAAAAGAAAGGCTATAATCAAGATCAGATTTCACTGAGAGAATATATCGTATCTGCCTAATGTTTACTAATCTAAACAATCAACTAGCTACCGTCAACTTTTAGAAAGCTATAAACTGCAATGAATGAACATCTCTTGCTTCAGCAAAATGTAGGATTATTAGCACATAATTCCTTGTTTCCTCTTTTCACACAATATAGTCAATACAACAAATATACCTATATATATTAGCAAAATAATGGAAAGATCCTTTAAACTATGATGAACACACCGTTGAAGATAGCAAGAACATTAGCTCAATTCCTGACTAACTGGTAGGCACAATTCCACCTTCACATTTCAGAGCACAAGCAATTCTGTAAAAGTGACATCTAACATCTCTATAATTTATACAAGAACTTGATTAAAAGGAAAACAATAAAATGATGATCCAGGAGCACCTGTATCTGGAGAGTCGGATGAAGCTGAAGGCCTGGGAGAAGGAAGGATGAGCAAACCAAATGCACACCCCTATAGAATTCTTGGATAGTTATGTACTTTAGTATTTAGACAATGAAAGAAACCAATCATCCACAAAATCCATCTTCTCCACAAAGAGACCTCTTCATTTTTCGTACTTTTCGCAACTTGAATATGTATTATAAACCAATCTACTGTCCCGATCCTTGAGAATCATCCTTGGGAGATGGTTGCTGCTGATGCTGATGCTGCTGCTGTTGAGGGTGCATCCTAGACTGTCCCATCTGCTGGTAAAGCTGGCTCATTGCCTGAGGATTCAAAACCCCAATATTACCATCTTGTGATAGCCCAAGCTCCAACCCTGGAAGCTGCTGGTTAGTACTAGCACCCAAAATTGAGGTAAAACTCATTGGCCCCATATTGCTTGATGGCAGGTCAAACCCTGGGAACCCAATCTTTTGCAAGTAATTAGAACCCTCACTACCCAGATTAACTGTTGATGGACCAGAAGATGATGACGATGACTGAAATCCAAAACCACTGACAGCAGGGGGCCATATCCCTGCACTTGCCATATGGGGTCTCCCCAAATTTACCATAGGCCAACTAGTCCTATTCCCACCCCCACCTGACCCCGCCATATGCCCACCAAATTCATCAATCTTTTGATGAATCCCTGCTGATATAGAGTTCCCCTGCTGGGAAATAGAAACCCCTGCTGCTGCTAAAGCCGATGCCGGTATAGTCCCTGTCCCTGTTGCAGCAATTATCGATGGCTCCGCCTGCTGTAACAGCCACTGTATAGTTTCTCCATCAGATTTGTGTCCCAATTCTCTGGTCAGCTGAAAAATTCTTGCAGCACAAAGGGCTGGCATCCTTATCCTCCTCCCTCTACCTTCAACTTTCGTGTGCCTATCTTTACTCGAGCTTCTCTTGGGTGCCAGTGCCTGTTTCTTTCCTTCTTCTTTCTCAGCAACCACAATCTGAAAATCCTTCATCTCTGCTGTCTTATTCTCGCCCATCCCTGTGCTGTTATTCAAGAAACTTGATACTTCCTGCGTCTGCTTTGAGCCCTTGGGATCCATGATTTTTACACAAGAAATTACAATAAAATAGCAAAAAAAAAAAAAAAAGCAGTATGAAGAAGGGTTGAGCGATCTTTGTGTGTATTGAAAAAGGTGACCTCAAGAAACGGAAAAAAAGGAATTCTAGTGATGCTGTGATTCCGCAAGGCTTTTCACTGTTTATGGGTAAAAAGAAGAAGAATGTAAAAGAAATAAAATTAACTTGTTGAAATCCCAAGACAATGAGTTTAGGATCTTTGTCAAAAATATAATAAAATCTGCCTCTTTTTTCACTGTTCTGGGTTTGACTTTTGACCCTTTTTTTGATTTGACATGGTTTCTTAGTTTTCACTGGTACACAAACACGCGGCTTGTTAAAATCCAGAATACGAAAATAGAAAACACGACAGAACACAATGCAACAAGAACTCGACTATTATCAATGAATTTTATCTATGATTGCAAGTGAGAGACAGCAAACTGTATGATGAAAGTTTGAACTCGAGTATACAAATGGATGTATTATAGGAGGACACTTGGCAAACAACAAGTGGGATTCCTTCAAACACACTCTAATCGCATCCTCAAAAGAGGGAAACCAAAGATAACTTAAAGAAGCTTCTAATAAATTTTATGGAATCAAGCAAATATGGCCCAGATAGATATGTCCTTTGAGTTGCTAAAGAAAATGATTAGGGTTTCAGGATGCTAATTAGGCGGGGCCCAAAGCTCATCATCCATGTAAGTTGGAAGTTTGGAGCTTACTCAACTTAGATTTTATTCAGTGGACAGATCAGTTAAAAGCTTCTGTAAGAGTGTTGGTCTATGTCCAATCAAACTACTTTTTATGAAAACAAAAAACGCTCAAGGATAAGAGTTTAATGTCAAACTTTACCATTTAGGCCCTGTTTGAAAGCAATTAATTTCTTGTAATGTATTATATAAAAAAAGGATGAATCGCATCCTTAGCAGCCCCCCACCTGCTCTGGGCCTTGATGAAGGAGGTAAATCCCATGTTATGCATCCAAGGGTATAGAGTGGAAGATTGCTTGTACACTTAGACTTACCCAATGGCCAAATCCATGTTTCAGGATTCGAACCCTTGACGCAGCAGCCTCAAGCGAAGTTGGAGTTTTTCCACCTTCCCCTTTTACCACTTGGAGATGTGCCCTGAGGGCTCTTGTAATGTATTATAGAATCGTAGATTGATGGAGAATGTGTAGTTAAAAAGTAAGGAAACTTTATTGATTTGTGTGTATAATATTTTATTGTGTGAATGTGTGGTGTAGATTGGTACTGTAGAAAACAATTTAAAATTTTAAAGAACGACAAACAGGAGCTAACTTTGAACTTAATATTTATAGTAGTGAAATAATTGTTTGCCAGGTTTATTAAGTCTCTGTTTGATCTCCATTCTCCAAACATTCATTTTTTCTTAAACACATTTTTAATCACGCATGCTCAAAATAAAATGATTTTGCATATAAACCTAAAAATTTTCCTTACCTTTTAATTACATTCTCTACAAAATTACTATTACAAAACTTATTGTTGACATACAAAAATGAGGCCCAATTAAAATGGTCCAAAAAATGGGGTTTAGTTAAGGAATTTGAGAGATAGACACAAATGAGACCATTGTGAAATGTAGTGGATGCCCATAAATGGAGGACTATCATCGTCCAAGCCTATAGGACACCCAGAATCAAAGCGAATCAAGTATCTTATTGTCGCTCAAAGTGACGGTCACATTCTCGTTCAAACCTTCGAAATGCCCAAGATCTGAACGAACTAGCGTCCTGTTGTTGTTTAAAGCGACAGTTATTGAAGTAGTTATTGAGCAAACTTATCATGTTCCACGATCGAAGAATCTCGGTTGCAAGTAGTTAAAAGAGGGGAGCAATAGCAGCAATTTAAAAATGACGGTTTCTCGACACGTCAGCCATTATGAAGCAAGTGTGTAGATATAGAGCGATAAGCAGTTTCTAAACGATTTTATAAGAAAAACTAGTAAAGGAGCATAAAAGGAAAAAGAAGACATAAAAGAGAGGACCCTAATCAATCACTCTCAAACAGAGAATATGTAATTTCATTTCTTTTAATTCTTATCGTCAAACTTTCAAATTACTTTGTGTGCTTGTGCCCATCGGATACGTTTTACTTCTTCTCAATTGTAATCTTCATAAATAAAGCACCACTCGTTGGGACTTTATCTC